GATTGCGGCGTGGCCATCCCCCCTGGGGGGTGATTTCTCGCTTTCTGTCTCTCTGTCTCTCTCTGTCTGTCTGGTGAGCACACACGCCCTATCGCGAAAACCTCTCCAAAAAAAAAAAAAGTTTATTTTCCTTTCTTTTTTCCATAGTGAGACAAAGAGAGAGAACCACTCAGGGAGGTCTCCCAGCACGAGCCCAGAACATTCCTATGTGGGTCAACCTTGCAGAGTAACGCGCTCTAACTGCACCTCTGCCCAGCCCGTCCATGATGTTTTTGGGGTCCCCCCGTTATGGGGAAGGTAAACCCCAAGTTCAGGGAGTTACTTCTCCTGAGAGGCAGAGCAGGGAAGCCAGGGAGCGATAGATACCTTCCCCTGTGAATTCAGAAAATTACTCCCAAGGGCATCCAGGAGGAGGAGGAGGAGGAGGAGGAGGAACGTCAGCAGGTGAGAATTCAGTAGCCCTGCCTTGGGGATTGTTACGGTGTCTTCTATAACCTACCGGTTTTAAACCTTCCCTAAATCCCAGAAGCAGATTTCCAAAGCCCAGGACTGAAGTTAGTGATGAGTCAAACCTCGACCAAGTCTCTGAGTCATAGGTCGAGCACAAGCTGGCTCCGTGCGCCACTTCGCAGTCCTAGAAGTGAGTGACTAACACACTCCCACCACGTCCGCAGTGTGCGTGTGTGTGCGCGTGTGTGCGCGTGTGTGTGTGTCCTGCCCCTCCTCCTCCTGCATGCCCCTCAGCAGCCGTGAGGACAGCCTGTGTGAACACGTCAGAGCAGTAGCCCAAGAGGCCTGGACCCCCGAGTGTCCCCCTGGCTCCCTGGCCTCACCGTGTGACTTGGGCTTGGACTCTTCGTTGGCGGGGTGAATCCAGGGGCAACGCGTGCTTCTCAAGGTGTCATCTGGGCTGACATCGTGTTCATTTCTGTGCCCTAGGTGACCTCCCAGCCCCCCTGAGAAACACCGAAACATCAGTTACAAAGCCTGGTTCTCTCCTTTGACCCCCACAGTGACCCCTACCCTGATGGGTGAAGACCCCAGGGCAGAGAGGCCCATTGACTGACCCAGGAAACAGCGGAGACAGAGCGGCATGGGGTTTTGGAGCCAGGCTTGGAGCT